CACCCTCGGACGCACGTTCGTACACATACCCGTCGCAACCTTACCACTGGAACAAGCAGAACAGTCATTTCTGAAAGGTATACCACCATTTGTTTGCCAGTTGACTTCCAAAAAATCAGGAAAACCAACTGCTGAAGACGGATCACTCTTCACCATTACAATGCGAGCCCCAACACATCGGCTCAAAGAACTGCATTTTTAAGCACCCAAAACAACGATTTGACAGGTCATCAGCAATGTAGTCCCTGGGTGACTTCTTCTCATCCCGTACGTAAAAAATAAAATGAGAGGTCAACGTTTTTCGACACCCGAAGAAACCGATGATGCGTTCGGAATCCATGTTTTAGGGTTACCTACATCAGAGGGCAAAAGGGCTTCGAAAATTGGTTCGAGCCGCGAGAAGTGTATAAATCTTAATGTGGAGAATTTTGAAAGGCAATAAAGCGATTTTCAGTAAATAGTATTTGTTGCTGTTCCCAAATCTCAAAATATAAAAGGCAACATACGTAGATCTTTTCGAGATCAATACTTATCCCACTAATAGGGATTTCCCACTTCATCACTCTTCTATGCCAAGCCAATTGCAGATCTACATTCGGTCGACAGATAGAAATCGAACGTTACTATCAGCTATGTCGAACCTTCTTGGTATGTATGGTCAGAATGACGGAAATGCCGTCCGTGATCACGACTATCCGTCCGAAGAAGGATGGCCTATTGGATTCGTTCCAGTGCCTATTCACACCGTTGAAAATCACATCGACTATGTAAGCTTCATGGCTACCACATTCGCAAACAAATCCCATCAACTTACATTTACTCTCTAAGGTTTTGAATCCTTATGCTGACTGTGAACGTCGAGACCAATTATGGAAAATGGCCAAGACTTCTCCGGAAGTGCAGGCGTTCATAAATCGACCTGATGTGAGTTCAGTTTGAGAATGGATACGGGTTGTAAAAATGGCACCTATTTTTGATTATTCAATTTATAGATTAATTTATCTATAATTGATTTGTTGACTCATTTATTAACTAGCTGAATTGACTGACTTTCTGAAATTCATTTGCATTCCATTTCTGTGTTACGACGAGGGGGATCGAATCCTGGCTCAGTTGTCGCCTAGAAAGCTTCCCTGAGTATTCCATGGGTTTTATTCGGTGGATATACGAGTAATCGAAGTTTAGAACTTTTAAATCTGACTCCTAATCATAGAGTTTCTGGCAAATTCAGTCAATCTTGTAGCTTGGCAGTCTTTGGCTCGGCAAAAAATCTATTCCACTGATAGCTAAGTGTAACGTTTGGTACTGCTTTGCCGTACAGGTTTGTTATGGCTGAACCGCTTTATTGGTCAACGTCTTATTTTAGAATTAGTTCAAACTAGATATCGTTTCTTTTTCAGGTAGTTGCATTACTTGAAAAATTAACTGAAGACACTGGAACTAAAGTGACCATCGACAATCTATGGATAATACGGGACTCATTACTAACTGAAGTAAGTTAAGGTATAACTCGAATTAAAATGGTTATGAAAACAGTAACTGTGCCTGAACGGAATTCATTGCAGCAAGCTCATAAAAATGAAACTCTTAGAAAGGTAAACAAATGGTTCAGCGACGCTCTCTTCAAAGAAATGACTAGGGTCAACGACAAGGTGCGAGTCTATGAAAATGGAATCTATAGTGAGTTTAACTATTAAATGCAGACCAGAGAAGTTCTGTTCGTGAAGTACTGGTAAAAACGCTATATATACGTGAAAGAGATCAAGACCAACAGTACACTGTCATCCAGAGGTTGGAAGGGTCACCAATTTTGTGCATTTTCTGAGGCTTCACTGAATTGTACGGATATATGCACACAGTTAGTCGATGGTTTCTGTTGCACGAATTGGGGGGAGTAAATCTATTGGTATAATTCAATCTTGTCTGATGGATGCTCTAAGCATTCGACTTCAGTTCAGAATGTAGTGCCTTACTGAATGCGTGCGTGAACAATACAATGAATTCCGTTGGTCAAACGATGTACAAGACAGTATTTTTATCCTCTCAGACGGGCCAGATACCAATTAATCAACGATGAAGGATGAGAGGTTTGGTTGTCCTAGGCGAATTCAACACGAGATTCGAACCTGTGACCGTACATGTGTGATAGTGCGCTACTTACAACTACACCACCTCCGCCTAGATGGCCTAGTAATAAATGCAAAATAATTCATACGACCCAAAACTTTTCTTTTTTACTTTTCAACACATAGGGTTTCGAATAGCTCTAGGAAATTCTTCAAAATCTGAGAAGAAAAAAATGGATTGTTTCAGACGGAACATTAATGATGAACAATCTCGATATCGGAAACGAGATACAAAAAATCCGTGGAGGGTCTCTGGTGAACGACATGTATATGCACATGAACATTAA